CCACGGCACCAACCCTCAGTATCTGGTGGAGAAAATCATTCGGACGCGAATTTACGAGTCCAAATACTGGAAAGAGGAGTGCTTTGGACTTACAGGTGAGCAGAGCGTGCTGAACACCCCCCATCCCTGCCCTAACCCCTGTCGTCCCATGGCCCAGTTTTCCATTCCAATGGGACTGGCCCACTGGCGGTGAGATTTAGGGGGAATTTTTCAGTCATTCAGAAGAATCTGAGCGCCTACTCTGTGCCTAGTGTTGTGTTGGGCTTTGGGAACACAGATCTGATAGGACCTTATTCGGAAGGGTACAGGTGGTTTCTTTGAGGCATTCCGTGTTTAATGATAACTTACTGGGTTCCAGTGTTAAACATGGGAACCCTGAAGGTCTTAAAGGAGCGTCAGTATTCCCGAAACCAAATTTACAATGTTACTACCCCCAAATCTGGACCATTTGCAATATTTTCACATCCCAGTCCTAATATAAATATGTTCTTAAGAGAAATCTTCCAGGTCGTCTTTGATACTTGTTTAATTCTGGCTTTTTTTTTTTTTTTTTGGTACCTGTGTTTCCCTAGTGAACTGTGAGTTCATCTTCTGTAAAACGAGCACAATAATACCCACATCAGAGGTCAAAGGATTAAATGATTTAATCCAAGAAATCTAAGGATTAAATGAAATAATGTATAAGAAGTGTTTGGTATAGTTACAGCTTGTCCAGTCGCTAGGTAGTGTCAGACTCTTGTGACCCCGTGGGCCGTAGCCTCCTGGGCTCCTCTCTCCTCCACTGTCTGCTTGAGTTTGCTCAAATTCATGTCCATTGAGTCGGTGATGCTATATATATTTAGCTACAGCTATATATTAATAAAAGTACTCAGTACTCAGTGGTGGTAGTGGTGCTGATTGTTACCACTGTTAATTACTCCTGGGCTGTTACTGCTCTGCCATCACCCTAGCTGTGTGTCCACGGAGGAGTCATATTGTTTTTCTGAGTTGCCGTTAAATTTAGAGTCATGTAAGATTTACTTTGGGGGCCTTTTCTCATTCCAGAGGTGAAATGACTTGCTCTAGTTCACGAAACTGGTCTGATTTTGATGACAACATTGAAAGGTTATTATCCCTGTTGTCTAGATGAACTTTACTTAGAGTTATGTAGTTATTGAGGTTTGTTATGGTTTTCGTCCTTCTAACTCTTATTTAATCTGGCAGTTTTTCTCCTAACGTGATGGTGACAAGCACAGACTCTGAAGTTAGACTTGTTGGACGAAAACCCAGGCCCTGCCACTTTCTGGCTGTGAATATTGAGCAAATCACTTAGCGTTTCTTGGCCCTCATTTTCCTTAGCTGAAAACAAGGGCAGTGCTAGAACTTAACCTCATGACTTGTGAAGATTAAATAAGATAATATGAAATGCTTAGCAGAGTACTTGGCATATAGTAATCTTTCAGTGTATATTGGCTGCTGTTATTTATTAAACACTTGTTCTCCTAATATTAAGCTGTTAATTCAGGAACACCAAATCTTGAACTAACTTTAACTCTCTGCACTTTAAACCTGTAAAAACTTAGTCCTAATATGTCTGCAATGCCTCTCTGTTTTTGTTTTTTAGCTGAACTTGTAGTTGATAAAGCCATGGAGTTAAGATTTGTGGGTGGTGTCTACGGTGGTAACATAAAGCCCACTCCTTTTTTGTGTTTAACCTTGAAGATGCTTCAGATTCAACCTGAGAAGGATATCATTGTAGAGTTTATAAAAAATGAAGATTTCAAGTGAGTGAAATATTTACTAGCTAATATAAATATTTTAATTTCGTGGTCCAGAATTTGGCTTTGGTTAAAAGAAGGGAAAACAGCGTATCTCATTTCCAGAGTCCCACTCTGGTATTTTGTTCTTGAACCCCTTGAGTTTTTGTTTTGTCTGTTTTGATTGTATTGACCTTCTTCTTTACTTTCTGAGACTTTTTCCTCCAAAAAAGTATTTCACAAAACTCACTGACATATATTAAGCAGAAGTTAATGCCAAATATGTTGGTAGCACTGAATACTTAAGGATGAAGAAAACAACATAAAGTGTGGTAAAGAAGAGGGAAACGTTTGTGTTAATTGTAGGTTCGTGTCCAGACCCTATTACCTATGAACTGTGACCTTGGAGAAGTTACTTAATTTTCTAAATTTTACTTTCTTTACCTGTAAAATGGAAACAATGATACCAGCTCGGGATAGATGTGAGAATTAAGGAAGAAAGAGCTGTAAATCTCTATCGGTGCCTGTTGCATGGTATCTGGCCCCAAAATATAAGCTGCTTGAGGAGCTAACAGATAAGAACAGGAGACAGATGTAATAATAGATTATTATTTGCCACTCTCTATTCTAAGAAATTTACATGCAATAATTTATTTAACCTTCACAACAACCCTGTAAAATTATTATCCCCATTATGTAGGGGAGGAAACTAAGGCACAGAGAGATTGATTTCGCAAGGTCAAATGCTGATAAGTGGCAAAGCTGGTTTCAGAGTCCTTTTTTTTTTTTTTTTTTGCCAATGTATTCTGTTTGTCATATAAGGAAATGAATTTCAGATGCCTACTGTTTATTGAAATGGAGATTTGAGTAGGTAGTTGGGGTATAGGAGAAAGGGAAAATAAAGGAAACTTACAAATTAATGGCTAGAAAATAGCTAACTCTCATTAGGTACTTAAGGTGTGCTATATACCTCGCTTTGCATCCTAACATTCATTTTTTACTTAATATACCAAACCATCAAATTAGGGACTATCATTTTACAAGGACTGAGAAAGCAAAAGTAAATTGCCTAGTGTTACAGAGTTAGTAAATAATGGAATCAAAATTTGAACCCAGATGACTGACTTTTCTCCATAACCAGCATTCTGCTTTCCAGCAACTGGCAATATGTGTAAATTATATTGTTAGTAAATAAATCTCTACTTTCTGTTGTTAAATTCAGTATCTCATTTGATTCTTAAAATAATCCCGTGAGGTAAATAGGTTGTATCTTAGTTTTACAGATAATATAATAGACTCGGAAAGTTGAATATTATATCCCAAGTCACTGCAGCCAGTAAGTGGTAGAATGAGAACTTGAACCCAGGTTTCCATATTTTAGCTATTTTTTCTGCTGCCCTATGCTGCCTCTAAAAATGTAGCTTTCTCATCTACCAAAGAGAAAAAAAAGCTTGTTTATCCACTGCTGTCATGAGAAAAGCTACTTGTAAAGCTCAGGAACTTTTTGGAATGGCCTGTTGTTTCACTGTCGTCTGTCTGTCAGGTATGTCCGCATGCTGGGAGCACTTTACATGAGGTTGACAGGTACTGCAATTGATTGCTACAAGTACTTGGAGCCTCTGTACAATGACTATCGAAAAATCAAGAGCCAGAACCGAAATGGAGGTGAGTATGGTCCTAAGTATCTAGGCCTTCATCCCTGAGCCAGTTTTTATTTCACCAGTGTCTCTGGCATCACATAATCTAGATTGTTAGCATCTTCAGTCAGGTCGTCCATCTCTTGTGAGGAGTCATAATACTCCATTAACCTACTAGCTTCCTGTCAACCTCACCCAGTCTGCCCCTGTCTGCCTATCTTTCCAGCTGCATCTTATGTTAATCCCTGCTTTGGCATCATGTGCTTCATCCCATAAGATCTCTCTCTCGAATGACCTTTGCCTTAAAATCCTTCCCCAGACCTCCCAAAGTTAGTTTTCCATTTGCTGGACCTTCACAGTTCTTTCTACTGGCCTCTCTTACATGATACTTGACCCTGCAATACATGGACTGAGTGTGCTCATACTTATGTAGGAATCTTGCTAAAACATAGGTATATCCAGGAGGGGAAGCTCCATACCTTTTACAAAGACACATTTTATGATAAAATGGGATTCAGAGAATGCAATCAGAACTTCTTCTCACTCAGTGTCATAACAAAAGATTGGCCTTTACCCTCTAAATATCACATTAAGCAGTACAAGTTTAAGAATTTGGTATTATTCTTCAGACTTCTGTTAGCTTACTCATTCACTTGAATGAATACATACTAAGTGCCAGTGTTGCACTGGGTACTGTACTACATACCGGAAATAATGTGATGAACAAGATGGACATGGTCCTGGCCTGGAGATTACTTATTTATTTATGACTATATTATGCTGTTTATGACTATATTATGCTGTAGGGTTTTTAAACCTAGTGATGATTTGGGTCAGATATTTCTTTGTTATGGGGAGCTGTCCAGTGCATTGTAGAATGTTTAGCAGCATCCCTGGCTTCTACTCACTAAAGGCTATTAGCACCCCATAGTTGGAGGGGCAACACCCCTGGTTGAGAACCACTAAACTAAGGTAATGTTTACCATAGAAATTCTAAAAAGCTATTGCTCCACTTAACATGTAAGATACATGATTCTTAAAAATAGCAAATCACTATCACTTGGAACTAATACAACATCTTAAGTCAGGTTTGCATGTGTGCTCAGTTGCTAAGTCATGTCCAACTCTTTGTGACCCCTGTGGACTGTAGCCAACCAGGTTCCTCTGTCCATGGAATTTTCCAGGCAAGAATACTGGAGCGTGTTGCCATTTCCTTCTCCAGCCCAGAGATGAAACTCACATCTCCTTTATTGGCAGTCAGATTCTTTATCACTGAGCCACTCAGGAAGCCTCAAGTCAATTATATATCCATTTACTAAAGTTTGCTGCCCCACGTAGGGAAAAAGATACATATTTTTAGGAACTTAGTAGGTTCACAGGAGATACTGTACTTGAGTTGTAAGTTTTATTCAAAAACATTACCCTTTTATAATTCAGGACTCATTGTGCTTGTTTTTGTGCTTGTCTTTCCTGCTAACTGGGACCACTTCATTCATCCCATTATCCCTAGTTCCTAGACGAAGCATGGCACATAAACGGCCTCAATAAAGGGGAGTTGACTGGATGAAGATTGGTGGTGATGACAAGGCAGTGAAAGCTTGTAGGTTGAGCCCAGGTTTGACAGTAATCTATTCAGTGTTAATTGCCACACTGCAGCAGCTTTATTTATTTTTTTTTCCATTTATTTTTATTAGTTGGAGGCTAATTACTTTACATCATTGCAGTGGTTTTTGTCATACATTGAAATGAATTAGCCATGGATTTACATGTATTCCCCATCCCGGTCCCCCCTCCCACCTCCCTC